AAAAAAAAAGGAAACAAAGATTACACTGAGTTGCAGCGAAAAGACTGAAATTTTCATTAACTTCCCTTTCATAAACCCAGACGTATAAGTATTTTTAACATTGTGTTCATATTCTTTTACTTCTATCCACAGATCTCTGTCGGCATCTCAAGTTTACCACACCAGTCGATGGATATGCTCTGCATGGCCACGTCATTAAAAATATTTTTTTAAACTTGGGAATGCGTGACTCTTGCAAAGGGCGATGTACCATAGAAAATAACTGTGTGTCAATCAACATTGGTCCACCAATAAACGACAAGGTCTTATGTCAGTTGAGTGACTCCGACCACATTCGACATCCTAATGATCTTAAACCACGTGACGGTTATATGTACAGAGGCACCGAGGTTAGAAAATGAAGACCGCTTACGGTATCGCTATTGTTTGTAAATCATATGCAGTTACCTAGTTTGTTAGTTCGTAGGGTGATTGTTTGGTTGTTTAGTTGTTTGGTTAGTTAGTTGGTTGTCAGTCAGTCAGTAAGTCGGTCGATCGGTCGGTCGGTCGGTCGTTCGGTCGGTCGGTTGGCCGGTTGGTTGGTTAGTTAATAAGCAAACGTTAACAAACGACGAAGCAAACTCAACAAGGATACTATCGATGCTTGATAAGAAAAAAAAAACTGTTACCATTAAGTTTCAACTAACAAATTTCTTTTATCATCAGAATCCATGCTTCAGTAACCCATGTGCTGAAAACTCGACATGCCTGAACGGATTTACCAACAAAAAATACGTCTGTGCCTGCCAGACAGGATACACGGGAGAACATTGTGAAAAAGGTGAGCCCAAAAACGATGCGTGTAATCTAATAATCTAGTAATATATTACTGCACATGATCGACACTGATAAAAGCAATAAGTATTATTCGTATCTATAGTCTCATATCAACGTGTGTGTGGTTTGGTCTCTTTGTGAGAAATGGACTATTCCGAGTCTCAAAATCTTTCTCTGTTTTACTCGTTTATTACCTAGATATTAATGAATGTGATAACGGCATGAATGATTGTCACGTAAATGCAAATTGCACAAACACCGTTGGATCCTTCACCTGTACCTGCAAGGTGGGATACATTGGAGATGGACGCATATGTTCGGGTATGCTATTTAAACCTTAAAATATTAACAGAGCACCTCATTTATTTGGTTTGTTGGTTGGTTGTTTAGTTTCTCTTCTCAAGCTTCTTGTTTCCAACTTTTCTTGCAGTTTGTATGTCTTGAAACCATTTTTTTAACTACCGAAGTTTTTCCTTTTTAGATTGCTTTTAGTCCTGTTCTCGATTTTATTGAAAGAAAAAAAGGACCACGTCCTTATAATTACAATATAAGATTTATTTTCCATAGCGTTTGCCCGATCCTGTAAACAGCTGTTTGACTTGAACTTGTAAGTACTTGGTCTTTATTTTTTATGGGAAAATTTAGTCAGGCTTTGATCCATGCTCAAAAAAAAAAAAAAGAATTACAGCAATTACAGAAGAAAACATACAATGCTCGCTGACTATAAAGTATAGTGGTTAGTCAGTAGTTAGCTTACAGACAACTAGGAGTATTGCAAAGTACTCCCTAGTCACGAAATTTGAGAAGGTCTTCATGCGCGAGAAAAAAAATAGTTCTTATTAAACAAAACACCTAATGCCAGGACCCCACCCGCACTGCCAAGCCACTGAACCCTATTTCAGACCAAAACTGCTCAAAAAGCATACACAACCATAACCGAGGACTGAGAGTCTTAAAAGTCATGTTTTCTGTAAAGAATAAAATGCATCAAAGGCATCAGAGGTAAAACCAAGGATTCCTTTATAGCCTTCATTTGAATGTATGTAGATGTATACGTTCAGTGATCGAACTGCTTACAAGAATGTAAGCTTTATTTATTATTTCCTTGGCGTTTAATTAGTTTTTTAAAATCATCTCTCGTAATTCTTTAGATCCACGGGTAATAAAGCTTACCCACTGCTACTGGGATCATCACTTGAATTTAATGTCTACTGTCACATGTCTAATGACCTTGCGGGATGTGGAGGTGGTGGATGGACGCTGGTCATGAAAATTGACGGCGATAAGGTAAAACAAAGATACAACAGTCCTCATGTGATGTAATTATAGTACATTTACAATCTGTAACTTGATTGCCATTCCGCCTTTCCCCTCCTTGAGATTTTCTTCCTTTTTGAACATGATATACACTCTTTGATACCTAAACTGTCAGTGTTTTTTTCCTTTCCAGAAATTGTTTCATCAATTGTTAGTCTATGTCGGCCATTTAGCAATCCCATAAGGGAAATGTTTTGTTATTCCGATCAAGCCAAATTTCGCCATTTTTATGGATATTGTCTTTTCTTTTTCTTTTTGAGTAAAATTGCAAAATTGTAGTACTTGTTTTCATTTTATCATCATCTGGGATCACTTTTTTTTTTATCAAATTACCTTCTTTTTTGAATTTCTGAGGAAAGCGTAAAATTTAAACTTCATTTGATGTTAGTGGACGTCATAAGTAACAAAACAAAATTATCTTGTAGAGCAAATTGACGAGTACATAAGTGGCAAAATAATTTTGATATCTTTGATGAAGATTCAGACCACCCCCACCCATCAACCATAGTATGGGTACTTTTTTGGGAGGGTGGGGGGGAGGGGGGGGAGGTTGGAGAAGTATGGTGATATTGTTTCCACGTCTGAGGGTTTAAACAACCTAAAAAAAAAGCGGTATAAATTAATGACAACATGATTAATGCTAAGGAGTAGTCCTGGACCACAGTGGACTTTCCTCCTATACCGTAGGCATTAGAGATTTTCCCAGTTCGTTAATTCTACGGAAACCGAGAAAAGCCCCAGCGGTATCTGAGAATTTGGTGGAATGGAGAACATTGGCTTTGCAGTGTTACTTCGTTTCAGTTCCCATTTTATTTCTGGAATAATGTTTGTATCTCGATCTTGTTTACATCAAGAAAATAGTGAATTCAACATAGCAGGTACCAGGTGAAGGACTAGGAGATAAACACATTAGGCATTTAGCCTCCGCAATCTTGTAAAAGGACAATCGGGACAAATAATTTTACAACAGCGTAAACCCTTCTCCTGGGTGTGATACCTTTATACATGCGGGGCTATGAGAGGGCATGTACAGGTGTTAGTTTATATTATACAAGTATTTTATTATTCCTTCGTGGCGTAGATGAATTTCCACTACGATTCCATCCTCTGGCGCAACCAGGACACATTCAACCCTGCAGGAGGACAGACGGGTTTTGACTTACAAGAGACCAAGATACCGACCTACTGGAATACATCCTTCTCCAAGATCTGTCTTGGCATGAAAATCGGCCAGCAAATCAAGTTCACTGTTATCAACAAGCATGCCAACTCTCTGTACTCACTGATTGCTGACGGGCAGTACCATGCCACCTCACTAGGTCGTGACACTTGGAAAGCACTTATTGGTTCGGAAGCATCTTTGCAAAGCTATTGTAATATAGAAGGGTTTAACACAATTGGAAGCGACCCCGGACATTCTAAAGCAAGAATAGGTTGGATAAGTAACAATGAAAATGATTGTTCCTCCTGTGATTCTAGGATCGGGTTTGGTACTGGAGGTCGCCCAGATGACGCCAACACGTGTGGCAATGAAGCATCAGTCGGACCAGATAATGGGAACAAGCACATCAAAGCCATTGGATACATCTTGATTCAGTGACATTCGTATGTAACCTATATGTAATACATATAATGCTGTTCCTACCAAGGTTGTTCTGCGGAAGTACAAAGACTTACGCGTCAATTTCGAAAGATATTAGGGGTAAAGGTGGTGTCTTTTTTTAACAGAAGTTTAAAGGTGTTTCGAAGGAAGGAGAAACCAAAAACACAAGTGCGATTTCTATTATTTACTTTTTTGTTAATTTTACCTTCTATCAGGCTGAAACACCGAGAACGTCGATCAACTATTGGAGACCTTTTTACGGTTTTGTAGGACATATATATATATGTTATTTGCCAGCTTGGAGGTTTGTATTGGAAAAAACTGTGCCCGAGGTCTCCAACGAGCGAGTAACTCAGATGCTAGATAAAGAAAGATGTATGAAAAAATAGATTTCTTTCGATATACTTTATGTTAGCTACCCTTGGGTCACCAATTAAGCTCTCCTATATTATTGTTCTGGTGCAAAATTATGTGCAAAGTTTGAAGTTGTACTACAAAACAATCTCTCAGTCGTTGCAAATTACTTGAAATCAGACTCTTCTACCATAAATTGAATAGCAGAAAGTGTATGTCACAGAAATGCTCTTAAATACATTGTACAGCAACGATCAGAGAAGTAAACTCGACTTACCCATTTTTTACTTAAGATTGTGCAGAAGAGAGAAACACAGTATTACGCACCATTACAGAGCCGGGCTTCAAACAACCAAACAAACTCTCACAACTTCAAAAACTTTCATTTGAATATAATTACCAGTGATTACAATGACTTTCCTTGCCATTTAAAGGTGAACAGAAGTAAACTTGTTGATTAATCATCGATGGAAGTGTGAAAAAAGGTAAACGATTGCCGATTACCGCTAATTCTTTCACAAAAATAGATCAACACGAAGATTCCGCCCACCATGAGCGGGCCGGATTGGAAAAATTCCACCCTCTCCGGGAACCGGTTTTTATGTAATCAAAATGGATTCATGTAAACAGAGCAAATACAGCTAACATAAACCTACAGTTGTTTATTTTCAAGTTGTTATTTTTATTTTTAGTACCGTGACGATTCCATTTAGCTCTCCAAGCTAAATTGTATTAAAAAAAAGATAAACTCGGTGACACTATTAGCGCTTTTTGGATATTACTTTACGCTACCAGCCATCGTAGTGTTATTCAATGGGGGACTGCACGAGCTGGGGATCTGGATATTTTAAAATACCAACACATGAAGAGACGTTTGAATGGCAAAGTCTGCGTCTGGCCAAGTCGGGTCCAGAATGTCGGAGCTTATTGGGGCTCCGTGGCACTAAATGACTGGGAGTATTTCTACTATTCTGCTAGTCCATCAAAATATTACTTC